ATTCTCTTCTGTCTTCATTTAGTCCGTCTCATCTTTCTAACCCGAACCACCACTCACCCATTCCCACGATTCCTGAAAGGAGGCTGAAGAGGGCCTTCCGCCCTACGTTCTGGCGTAGTCCGAAGGAACTGCCCGCCCACCAGTATTACTGGCTGGTGGGAATGAAACACCTTAAAGTATTTTTTTTTCGTTCCAAGAAATAACGTTCGCTGGAACGCTACTTTCTTGAAGCGGCAGCAACTGTAACGTTTCGAGAGTGGAGCCGTTACTCCCATCAGTACAGATTCATGCTAAAGTTGGCTAGACGTTCTTGCTGGAGCTGGACAGCACCCAGGCCCCAGTAATAATTGTTACAACTTCAGTGTGCATCAGGGCAAGTTGAGCTTGCAATAAAAAATGTCGTTTGTGTTGACAAGGATTTTTCTAAGTGATGCCAAGTTACCCTGCTTTCACACAGACGGTTTTCTAACGGCAATCGTGCCGTGCCGTGCCGTAATTTCATTTTGCTTTGCGTTCACACTGCACACGGTTTTTCNAAACGGTTATTGTTATTTTACCGGAGTGAGTCGAGGCAACTGAAATAAGAAACGTTTACGTTCCAATCGGTTCGTTCCATACCGAGCGGCATGGCCTAGAGGTTTAGACCAATGCTTAGTATTCGAGAGGACGCCGGTTCGATTCCGGGTCCGTCTGCCTTGGTACAAGTTTTTCTGTGGTATCCCTTGGATCAATTAGACAAATGCTGGGGCAGTAATATTCCACAGATAATCTTTCATTCTCTTCTGTCTTCATTTCGTCCGTCTCAACTTTGTCACCCGAACCGCCACCCACCCATTCCCACGATTCCTGAAAGGAGGCTGAAGAGGGCCTTCCGCCCTACGTTCCGGCGTAGTCCGAAGGAACTGCCCGCCCACCAGCATTACTGGCTGGTGGGAATGAAACACCTTAAAGTATTTTTTTTTTTCGTTCCAAGAAATAACGTTCGCTGGAACGCTACTTTCTTGAATCCGCAGCAACTGTAACGTTTCGACAGTGGAACCGTTACACCCAGGTCCCAGTAATAATTGTTACAACTTCAGTGTGCATCAGGGCAAGTTGAGCTTGCAATGAAAAATGTCGTTTGTGTTGACAAGGATTTTTCTAAGTGATGCCAAGTTAGAGATATTATTACGTATATACATACATGCCAAAAGCGGCTGTATCAGCAGTAACAACCGACACTTGATTTGTTTTCAAAAGACGGTGTAGGTAGAGAATAAAGCATGATGAAAGGATTTACAATCATGAAAATTAATTCCCGTCTTACAAATCCCAGAAATAAATTCATCAAAACTAAAATACTCTTTTTACCTCAATTTCGTATATTATTATTATTTTCGCAGCTTTCATTGCTTGGTAAGCTCCCCTACTGGCCTACTATATATACCTATATCAAATAAACAACACAGGGCGATTATAGTAAATACGCCTCTGAATAGTGAATATGGTACTATTGAATGTTTCAATGTTCACATGTATAGATTTCAATCAAAAGTAATATCAACATGTTTCGTCATAATTTATGAAGAATTTATGAAACAATGTAACGTGTAAGTTACTGAATTTTTTCAATTTTTCAGACTCCTAAAAGCGATTCAAAGTTTATTTCATACTTTTTTATTCTTGTCGTATGTCTAGGACAAACCTTCTTGTTTTGCTATTTCGGAGATCGTTTGACCCAGGAGGTAAGACAAATCTTACAATCGGTACAGTATACAGTATGTGATGGCATGTTTTTGTATATTTACAGGCAGGAAACATTGGAGAAGCTTTGTATTTTAACAAATGGTTAGATTTAGATAAGTCGTTTAAAAAGTCAATGCTAATAGTCATGACACGTATGTCGAAACCTGTTACTATTACAATGGGTAAAGTTACTCCTGTTAAACTCTCCACTTTTATTCAGGTTATCGCAGTCATTATATAGTAGCAGTTTAATTGTTTTGACGTAACCAAGGGCACCCAAGATTTCAATAAGGGAAGGGCAGAGATCTTAAACGTAGTTGAATTTTGTATTTTGTACGCATTTTCCAACATGTGCACTTACATATACACTGTGTCTGATCAGTATTCCGAAATATTTGAAAGGTAACATCTGGAGGCACCATTATAGGGGCTATAAAAACTGCACAACAATTAATGAGCTGTCAATGATTGAAAAAATTGGCCAAATTATTGTTATCTTATCGCCCTATTTAATTTAAATTGTCGTCGTTGTTTTGTGTTATTTTTTTACATTACTATTGTAACACCTTAATTACTAAGTATTTGTGCATTATTTGTTTTAACAGCTGTTTTATTATCGCAGATTGTAAGGGCAGCATATTCTTTCATGGCGCTCCTTCGAAACAGCAACGCTGCAGTTAAGGGTTAATGTGGAACAACATGAGTTATATTATTAGATAATATCTTTTATTGTTCTGTTTTAATAGTTAGTTATTACCTACTGTCATATTCAAATGAGATTTTCTCGAGAAATCCTGTTTATCAATTTAAATTGTGTCTCGCAGTTTTCTCATATTCAATATCAGTAGAAACATGAACACCTAGATAAATAAAAATTTGAAGAAAGCAATCTAGAAATAGTAGTAGGCGTCAAATGGCATAAGTACTACAAAGCTAGTACTTTTGTGTTATCATACCATATCTTCTGTGTGGGAGAGCAGGTAGGATTCGCACACTTTTTACACTGAGCTTTTTAAATAAAAATAACTATTGGCTATAACAAAATGATTTTGATACCGCTCCGTTCATCTTTGGTTGTAGGAATGACAAATTTCCAGGTATGAGGCTTCTTCCTCAAGATTGAAACTTTGTATTCAACGTGACTGTACTTTAAAAGCACCTGCCCAACATAATATAAAACAGTCTTTTTTTCTCGAACTTTACTAGAACAATGCTTTCGTCTTTAATATTTACTGACAAAACCGAAGTTTCATTTTCAATATCGTATTCTTCAAAAGACTCTTTAATGGAAGAACAGGGACTTTCTCTTAAACTCATATTAGTTTCATCCTCACAGCCACTTTCATCCTCACTATCAGTAGAATCAGTCTTTACAGTTTTCTTTAGCTTCTTTGGTTTAATTGTCCCTAAAGTTTTCGTCTGTTTCTTTGTCTTAGTTATTGTTATCTTCAGCTTTTTGTTTTCTCTCTTGCTGTCCCTTTTTTAACTTTTTTACCTTTTCGATATCTTCTAGCCCCTTTCTTTTACGCGTATTTGTATATATTCTCGATTTTCCTGGCAGTTTTCCATTGTTCGACTCTTGTGGTGATGTTGTACATGTTAGCTAAGAAGGTAATACGATCGCCGTGGTTCGTGGAAGATCTTGTTGAGTAAGTTCTGCTCCTGCAGGAAGAGTTTCTGACAAATTGTCACCTTGGTCCGTTGCAAAACTTGATTGTCCACCTTGAGTGGATTGTAATGGCACCACCGGTAAAGAAGTTGAAGAATGCATTAATCTCGGATGCAGGTCTTGTTGATGTAAGTACTTCTGCAGGAATTATTTGTATCATGTCCGTCTTTGTAGAAACTTCCAAGCTGACTTCCATAAAGTGGTCTTTAAAATGAACCCTGCGAGAAATAAATAGGGGCGGAATTGTGTTACCACTCGCCGAGATGATTCCTCCAAATTTAATAAGTTCAACCCTCCCAGCCGAAACAAGTTGACCTATTTGTTTTTGTTTTTTGTCAGCCGGAACCTTAGGCGTATTCATCACCTGACTCAACCAAATTGTATATTCGGTTAGCTGTTGATTTATATTTCATGTAAACTTTTTCAAGGTTTTCGAAGCAGTAGTCAAATCGTGGTGCATTTTTGAGCAGTCCGTTATGTACTTATTTAAAAGAGCCTCTTCATAGTCGGCACATCTCTATAAATTACTTTTACAATTTGAGAATTATTTATACCAGAAAAGCGTGTTCAAAGACAAATACAAAGGTACCGGGCGGGAATCACGCACACAGTCACGAACACAGCAATGTGCTGGATAGCCTCGACATCTCCACTGTGCGAATGCTCCTTGTGAACGCATCCTAGCTGCTTTCCCCTATAATTACATTACTGTATGTTCTTTTATTTATCGTATAATTGTACTTAAGTAACGAGTAGTTTCTTTTTGAGATATCTTATTTATAAGTTCATGTATGCATTTATATAAGGATATCTCAATTCTGACTTCATCTGCATAAACGAGCCGTAACCTACTTGTTCCTGGTGGCAAAATAAAAATAAAATGGAAACCAAAATTGAACCCGAAATTTCGAAACATTTAGAAGAAGGGCTGAGTTTTCTTGATATAACTGGTGCAATTATTCGAAAAGATCATGGTGTAATGAATTGGGCAAGAACAGTCTTTCTTGTTTATGCTTTTACGACAACTCCTTTGTTTGGAGTAATTGATATTTTACATCAGGAAAAACAAGATCTAATTCCGGCTTTGACATTTCATTTATGTGCCATGCCGATTATACTTATAACCGCCATTATGATACTACAATGGTACAACTCAAGGGACAGCCTCATCCAGTCAATGGTTCGTGTTAGAGAAAAGCAACTGTTAATTGGTGAAGTTAACGGAAAACTATTAAAAACCATTTCAAATGAATTGAAATTGAAAAAGATGGTTATTATTAATTTGCTGTGGTGTTTATTAGCCATTATCTTCTGTGGTCTTATCGGATGGTTATTTGCCTTTAGCTTAGGAACGGTTAGAATGGAATACAACGAAGCAATGATAAAGAAATATCCATTTCCGTTGCCCTTGTGGTTTCCTGTGAATTATACAAAAACGAAAACGGCATACCTCCTGACTGGGACATTCGCTACATGTACCTATTTAGTTTTAGGTAATTGCACGATTGGTAAGTAACTACAAGATACTGTGATATACATCAATAAGTACTTGCCAGATTAATAAATAGTAATAAAATGCAATTTCTGTAAAATAATAGTCGTAAACATGTGGCACANATGTCTAGGGCAAACCTTCTTGTTTTGCTATTTCGGAGATCGTTTGACCCAGGAGGTAAGACAAATCTTACAATCACTGTAAGTATACAGTTTGTGATGGCTATTTTTTGTATAATTGCAGGCAGAAAGCGTTAAAGATGCTTTGTACTTTAACGAATGGATAGATTTAGATAAGTCGTTTAAAAAGTCAATGCTATTAGTCATGACACGTATGTCGAAACCTGTTAGTATAACAATGGGTAAAGTTACTCCTGTGAAACTCACCACTTTTATTCAGGTATGGCAATCAATATATAGTAACAGTATAATTTTTTTGACGTAACCAAGGGCATCGTTATCTTATCGCCCTTCGTTGTCGCAATAGACGTACCTACTTGTGACCTTCGCAGCAGCTGATACGCAAATAAGTCAATTGCACGTAATGGCGGTTGGTACGACTGGTCGATAATCTTCGCAGTATGCTGCAAGATGTAATGGAGCGCAGCAGTATCGACAACAACACGTAAACGAAATGTCCAACCGCTTACTCGCTTAGCTAACGCCGCGAGCTCCCTCCCAATTTCAAATAATTTTTCAGTATTACTCCTGGATACTTTGTCGGAATTGTAATTTTGTTCTTTTGGACCGTAGACAGACTCAAGATGGTCATTTTAGCGCCAAATTCGAAAATTTGTGATTGACCGTTCTTGAGAAATCGGATAAACTTTTTTCTTTTCGTGGTTATTCCTCCGTTGTATGTCCCATTTTAAAAATTATATTTTACAAACAAGCTCCTAGCAGTGCACGAACATTCTATATCGGTAAAGTCGTTTAGAAGAAGAAGCGTGTCAATCGAAAGTTCTGAATAGGGGAAGAATGGATTGACAAAGTTACTGCTATTACTACACAATTCAAAAATAAGTTTATTTTGAAAATATCAAGAAAAAAATGTAGAGTGATTTCCTCCCCTTTCACACGCCTTTGGACGTTGATCATGCAGGCTGTTCCAAAATAACTGTTTAAAAATCAATAACGTTCCAATTATAAAAATATGTAAATATTTAAAAATCATTCATTTTGTAACTAAATCCTTTGCCGTATAAAGATCAGTCTGAATCTTGCACTATTAAGATATTAATATTTTTACAATGAAATTTGCCTGCAGTGATTCTGAAGAGACTTCACAAAGCAATCATACTAAACATAAACTGTGAAAATAAAGATTGTATACCTTTATATCGTAACTTCCTCTACCAATAACTTTTGTAACGGGGTCACTCATCTTCTAGTACTACCGATACAAGTTTCACTTTTAAACTTCAATGTTTTATCAACTATGAGCTAGCGAAAAAGTCCAGTTTAAGTAATGTTATGCTTCTTTACAATTTACAAACTTTTGATTCATAAGTAAACGATCTGCGATGTTTACAAGAAAATTTTTACACTGCAACAATAACCAATAAAGTTGCTAAATAATTCATAAGCGGTTGTTCTAAATAAATACAATCATCTTTAACAAATCGAAATATTGTGTTTGGGTAGTTCTAGCAAGCCTTACATATACTGTGTAATTGAATATCCCCGATTCTATTACATAGAATCATTAAAGGTCGGTATTATTTCAAACATACGACGTGGTATAGGAAAATTTGTATAAATACCTTCAAAATTAACTTGATATAAATAATAAAGTAATCCAAGCCCAACAAAAAATGCAATTGAAAGCGTTTGAGGGTTATTTCAGGACAGTTTCCAGAAAAAAATTACAATAAAGAAATATGTAATTTTAATGTTCGATGAACATTTGCTTTACCTGTATAACAGAATAATTATTTTCCATTTTTCTGAAAGGCTGATAAAGTGTGTCTGGAAAGCTCTCGAAATTTTGTTGTTACGCGGTCATGTATGTCACTCATGACACCGAGGCGAGCGACTCAATGCGCTTATACCCTAGGCAATCGGTATATAATCTGTACTGATTTCATCGCATACATAAGTACATACGAGTAATATTACCTCCTTATAGTATAGTTGCGAATTACCAATTTATGCGAGGTCATTATAAGCGAATTCCAATGTATGGCATTGTGGCCAATAGTGGCACCTATTACGTATTTTTGAAAGCTAAAATGTTCGTTTTCATGATTTGTTGTTTGAATAGTCGACGTTGTTTTGTGTTACTTTTTTACATTGCTTTTGGAACACCTTAATTATCAAGTATTTGTGTATTATTTGCTTTAACAGCAGTTTTATTATCACAGATTGCAAGGGCAGCATATTCTTTCATGGCGCTCCTTCGAAACAGCAACGCTGCAGTTAAGGGCTAATGTGGAACAAACACGAGCTATATACATAGATAATAACTTTTATTGTTCTGTTTTAATAGTTGCTTATTACCTACTGATATATTCTAATGTGAGGTTCTCGAGAAATCCTGTTTATCAATTTAAATTGTATGTCGCACTTTTCTCAAAATCAATATCAATAACAACATGAACACCTAGATAAATAAAAATTTGAAAATAGCAAATCAAATGTTTATATCTACAAATAGTAGTAGGCGTCAAATGGCATAAGTACTACAAAGGTAGTGCTTTTCTGTTGTCATACATAGCATTTGTCCTGTATGATTACATCACTGTATGTTCTTTTATTTATAGTGTAATTGTACTTAAGTAACGAGTAGTTTCTTTTTGAGATATCTTATTTATACGTTCATGTATGCACTTATATAGGAACATCTCAATTCCGTCTTCGTCTGCATAAACGAGTCGTAACCTATTTGTTTTTAGTGGTAAAATAAATACAAAATGGAAACCAAAACTGAATCCGAAATTTCGAAACATTTAAAAGAAGGGCTGACTATTCTAGATATGAGTGGTGCAATTATTCGAAAAGATCGTGGTATAATGAATTGGTTAAGAAAAGTCTTTCTTATTTATGCTTTTACGACAACTCCTTTCTTTGAAATAATTGATATTTTACATCAGGAAAAACAGGATCTAATTTCGGCTCTGGCTTTCCATTTTTGTACAATTCCGGTTATACTTATAACCGCCACAATGATACTACAATGGTACAACTCAAAGAACAGCCTCATCCAGTCAATGGTTCGTGTTAGAGAAAAGCAACTTTTAATTGGTGAAGTTGACGGAAAATTATTAGAAACCAATTTAAATGAATTGAATTTGAAAAGGAAGATTATTATTATTTTTGTGTGGTGTTTATTAGCCATCATCTTCGGTGGTCTTATAGGATGGTTATTTGCCTTTAATTTAGGAACGGTTAGAATGGAATACAACGAAGCAATGATAAAGAAATATCCATTTCCAATGCCAATGTGGTTTCCAGTTAATTATACAAAAACGAGAACAACATACCTTTTGACTGGGACATTCGCTGCATGTACCTATTTAGTTTTAGGTAATTGCACGATNCTTCGTTGTCGCAATAGACGTACCTACTTGTGACCTTCGCAGCAGCTGATACGCAAATAAGTCAATTGCACGTAATGGCGGTTGGTACGACTGGTCGATAATCTTCGCAGTATGCTGCAAGATGTAATGGAGCGCAGCAGTATCGACAACAACACGTAAACGAAATGTCCAACCGCTTACTCGCTTAGCTAACGCCGCGAGCTCCCTCCCAATTTCAAATAATTTTTCAGTATTACTCCTGGATACTTTGTCGGAATTGTAATTTTGTTCTTTTGGACCGTAGACAGACTCAAGATGGTCATTTTAGCGCCAAATTCGAAAATTTGTGATTGACCGTTCTTGAGAAATCGGATAAACTTTTTTCTTTTCGTGGTTATTCCTCCGTTGTATGTCCCATTTTAAAAATTATATTTTACAAACAAGCTCCTAGCAGTGCACGAACATTCTATATCGGTAAAGTCGTTTAGAAGAAGAAGCGTGTCAATCGAAAGTTCTGAATAGGGGAAGAATGGATTGACAAAGTTACTGCTATTACTACACAATTCAAAAATAAGTTTATTTTGAAAATATCAAGAAAAAAATGTAGAGTGATTTCCTCCCCTTTCACACGCCTTTGGACGTTGATCATGCAGGCTGTTCCAAAATAACTGTTTAAAAATCAATAACGTTCCAATTATAAAAATATGTAAATATTTAAAAATCATTCATTTTGTAACTAAATCCTTTGCCGTATAAAGATCAGTCTGAATCTTGCACTATTAAGATATTAATATTTTTACAATGAAATTTGCCTGCAGTGATTCTGAAGAGACTTCACAAAGCAATCATACTAAACATAAACTGTGAAAATAAAGATTGTATACCTTTATATCGTAACTTCCTCTACCAATAACTTTTGTAACGGGGTCACTCATCTTCTAGTACTACCGATACAAGTTTCACTTTTAAACTTCAATGTTTTATCAACTATGAGCTAGCGAAAAAGTCCAGTTTAAGTAATGTTATGCTTCTTTACAATTTACAAACTTTTGATTCATAAGTAAACGATCTGCGATGTTTACAAGAAAATTTTTACACTGCAACAATAACCAATAAAGTTGCTAAATAATTCATAAGCGGTTGTTCTAAATAAATACAATCATCTTTAACAAATCGAAATATTGTGTTTGGGTAGTTCTAGCAAGCCTTACATATACTGTGTAATTGAATATCCCCGATTCTATTACATAGAATCATTAAAGGTCGGTATTATTTCAAACATACGACGTGGTATAGGAAAATTTGTATAAATACCTTCAAAATTAACTTGATATAAATAATAAAGTAATCCAAGCCCAACAAAAAATGCAATTGAAAGCGTTTGAGGGTTATTTCAGGACAGTTTCCAGAAAAAAATTACAATAAAGAAATATGTAATTTTAATGTTCGATGAACATTTGCTTTACCTGTATAACAGAATAATTATTTTCCATTTTTCTGAAAGGCTGATAAAGTGTGTCTGGAAAGCTCTCGAAATTTTGTTGTTACGCGGTCATGTATGTCACTCATGACACCGAGGCGAGCGACTCAATGCGCTTATACCCTAGGCAATCGGTATATAATCTGTACTGATTTCATCGCATACATAAGTACATACGAGTAATATTACCTCCTTATAGTATAGTTGCGAATTACCAATTTATGCGAGGTCATTATAAGCGAATTCCAATGTATGGCATTGTGGCCAATAGTGGCACCTATTACGTATTTTTGAAAGCTAAAATGTTCGTTTTCATGATTTGTTGTTTGAATAGTCGACGTTGTTTTGTGTTACTTTTTTACATTGCTTTTGGAACACCTTAATTATCAAGTATTTGTGTATTATTTGCTTTAACAGCAGTTTTATTATCACAGATTGCAAGGGCAGCATATTCTTTCATGGCGCTCCTTCGAAACAGCAACGCTGCAGTTAAGGGCTAATGTGGAACAAACACGAGCTATATACATAGATAATAACTTTTATTGTTCTGTTTTAATAGTTGCTTATTACCTACTGATATATTCTAATGTGAGGTTCTCGAGAAATCCTGTTTATCAATTTAAATTGTATGTCGCACTTTTCTCAAAATCAATATCAATAACAACATGAACACCTAGATAAATAAAAATTTGAAAATAGCAAATCAAATGTTTATATCTACAAATAGTAGTAGGCGTCAAATGGCATAAGTACTACAAAGGTAGTGCTTTTCTGTTGTCATACATAGCATTTGTCCTGTATGATTACATCACTGTATGTTCTTTTATTTATAGTGTAATTGTACTTAAGTAACGAGTAGTTTCTTTTTGAGATATCTTATTTATACGTTCATGTATGCACTTATATAGGAACATCTCAATTCCGTCTTCGTCTGCATAAACGAGTCGTAACCTATTTGTTTTTAGTGGTAAAATAAATACAAAATGGAAACCAAAACTGAATCCGAAATTTCGAAACATTTAAAAGAAGGGCTGACTATTCTAGATATGAGTGGTGCAATTATTCGAAAAGATCGTGGTATAATGAATTGGTTAAGAAAAGTCTTTCTTATTTATGCTTTTACGACAACTCCTTTCTTTGAAATAATTGATATTTTACATCAGGAAAAACAGGATCTAATTTCGGCTCTGGCTTTCCATTTTTGTACAATTCCGGTTATACTTATAACCGCCACAATGATACTACAATGGTACAACTCAAAGAACAGCCTCATCCAGTCAATGGTTCGTGTTAGAGAAAAGCAACTTTTAATTGGTGAAGTTGACGGAAAATTATTAGAAACCAATTTAAATGAATTGAATTTGAAAAGGAAGATTATTATTATTTTTGTGTGGTGTTTATTAGCCATCATCTTCGGTGGTCTTATAGGATGGTTATTTGCCTTTAATTTAGGAACGGTTAGAATGGAATACAACGAAGCAATGATAAAGAAATATCCATTTCCAATGCCAATGTGGTTTCCAGTTAATTATACAAAAACGAGAACAACATACCTTTTGACTGGAACATTTGCTACATGTGTCTATATAGTTTTAGCTCATTGTATGATTGGTGAGTAACTACAAAAACTATGATATGCACCAACAAGTATCTACCAGTTTTGTAAATTTTCAACATTGTCTGAATATTACGCAATTTATGCATAATAATATGTGTAAACATCCGACAAAAATTGTATTGTAGTATTAAAATAAAAGGCAGGCTGGTAATGAAGATTTTACAAATTTAATTAATATACCACTAGCTATTCGTGTGTCATCCTTGTTTTACAAAATTATTTAGATTAATTACATTTAGTTCTATTTGTGAAACTTTTGACTATCGGTGTAGTGTTTGTTATCCCTGCATTTGAATATTGGTCTGTGCGGCTAGGGGTTAAAAAATTATCAAATTATCATCAAATACAAATTGAAGTTCAGTGTTTAGGAAATAGAATAGAACAGAATATAAAAATAGAAAACAGAAGGAGGTATTTTACATATAATTATTTTTTATTTTAAATAGAACTGTAAACCACATCTCTAATACTTTTAATTTGTCTTCACAGACACATTTCTAAACCTTTTTCCATAATTTGGTCTCATTTTGCTTTACTTAATGAAAAATAAAGAATGCCCTCCCTCCTCACACGACCTTGGACACTGAGTATAAAGGCTGTTCCAAAATTACAATTTAAAAATCAATAATGTTCTACTTGTATATATTTAAAAATAGTTTATTTTGTGATACCGTTCATGTTCCAAATTTTACTACTGATTTAATTTTCACCTTTAAACTTCAATGCCTTATCAATTATCAGATTGCAGAAAGATCCAGATTAGTCGGGGTTATAGCGCTTTACTGTTTACAAACTAATAGCACTTTTTATTCACAAATAAGCGCTCCGGG